TATTCTCTCTCTTCTCCATAATAATTCAACATTTATTCAATTTTTACTCACTACAATGGTTTTGTTTAATAAAATTCAACATCTTACCACACCACTTTTATTTGATATTCTTATATTCTTTTATGTTTTTTAAATAAAGTCAATTTTTTTGTCCAAATTAAATGAATCAAGTCTCTATTTATAAATAAAAAATAATGAATTTTAGTGAAAATAAAAATAAATACAAAATTGATTTATTATAAAATAATTAAATCTAAATAGTTAAGATGAGATAGAAATTTAAACTTTCATACCAATCAATAAGATTTTGTAAAATATTTTATGTGGCATCACTCTCTCTTTATTCAACATGTTGAATATTTTTAATATCAATTAATCAACCTCACTTTCAACACTCAATTCAACACCCTGTTGCAACAATTCAACTATTTAATCATTTTTTCAACAATCCCTATTGTATATAGTCTTAAAAACAAATAATTTTTTCCTCTAAAAAGTGACACTTAAAAAGAAACTGATGGAGTAAATGGTAAAATTGAAAAAAGTGTATTAGAAATTGCAACAAATCATTCATTTTGGAACACTATTTTATTCTAAATTGATCATTTATTATGAAATAGAGAGAGTAATAAGTTGAACATTGACGGATTTGAATCTTCTCATGCCTTTTCTCTCATATTTCTATCATACTTTAATCTAATTCATTGATTCATCTTTTCTCTCTCTCTCTCACTTGTACTATTATCTTTTAGGGTTAAATAAGTTTTTGGTCCCTGTAAATAACTCAATTTTCATTTTTAGTCCCTCAAATATTTTCCTTCAAAGATTGATCCCTTCAAAATTTCCCGTCTAGACTATTGGTCCCCAACGTCAAGTTCCACTAACGGCTTCCTATGTGACAAGACAGGTGGATTAAATAATTTGTTTTATTTTCTGATGTGGAATACAACGTGTACACCTTCATAAAGTTGAGTCACATGCATTTTGACCTAATTCATTTCCTTTTCGTTCATAATCTTCTTCATGAAATTCCTTCTTCTTCTTCTTCTTCTTCAGTTGGTGTGGTGGTTCGCCTTCCATCTTCTTTTTGCTTCAGTTGGTGTGGTGGTTCAGCTTCTATCTTATTTCATCCTAATGTCTATTTCTTCTGTGAAATCGCGAGTTGAGAATTTTTGTGGTTGTCAGGTTCGTATGGTATCGTATTGTTGCAAGAATGGACCAAATAAGGGCAAGTTTTTTTGGGGATGTCCTTATTGACAGAGTTCTGATACTTGTAATCTATTCATATGGGATGAAGATCTTGGTGTAAAATCTGGAAATTAAGATGTTACCATTAGGAACTCAGAGTTGGAAGCCATGGCATCTGTGGGATATATGAAGTTGTTGTATGAAGAATCAAGGAAGAAGAACAAGAACTTGAAGAGAAAATTGAAAACTGAAAAATTTCATGGAAGATTGAAGATGTTGTATCTTCTTGTGTCATTTATGATAAATGTGTATTTTGTTATCAATTATAGTTGTTGAATTGTTCATCTAATGAGAATGTACTGTGATTTTAGGTCTTGCTTCAATGTTCATTTTGTTATCAATTGTAGTTGCTGAATTATTCATCTAATGAGAATGTATTGTGACTTTAGGTTTTGCTTCAATGTGTATTTTGTTATCAATTATAGGTGTTGAATTGTTATCAATATTATTTGTTATGATTAAGTTGACATAATTTGCAATATTGGTATACAAAGCTTGTAATTTGATTGTTAAGTGCATAACTAAGCACATACTGAGACATGAGTACAAATTACATTAAAGGTTCAAAGTGCATAACAAAACACATTACAAAGTGCATAACAAAACACATTACAAAACACATAATAAGTACATAACAAAGCACATTACAAAATGCATAATAATACAACATTCATTTGTTTGATAAGACATAAGGTACAACCAAACTACATTTGTGTCACTCTTGAGCTTTCACTGAGTCATGCTCTTCTGGATGTCATCCCATTTCTTCTTTCCCTTTTCCCTAGAACTTCCAATAGTTGAGTCTTCTTCAGGTATTACAAATGGATAATTTGGATCCCTTCCAGGTCCCTCTATATTCTTTGTCATCAAAGTCCCAAGTCTGTCACTCTTTCTAATTATAGATGCAACCATCTTTGACTTTTTCCTTGGTGATATCACGATTTTCACCTGTTATGAAAGCAATGTTATCAAGGTAAAAAAACAGAACATGCCAAATAAGTCTATCAGAACAAGTTACAAACTTACAGGGTCACTCATAGTTGGGTTAGCAGCAGGTTTAGCAGGTTTAACAAGTTTAGCAGGTTTAACAGGTTTTGATACCTTAGGACATTTACCAATAAAGGTTTTGGGACCAGGCATATTATTTTTTGTAGGACTACTATCAATTCTTAATGTTGAAATATCTAGTATGTCATCATCATTCAACAATGCTTCTAGTTCATCAGGATTTATACCACAGTACATTCTCATTGCCTCAGATGAGGTAATATAATTTTGTGAAAGGTGTACCCCAGGTTGAGTAGGTGTCACATCAGTTGGTGCATGGTTTTCTCCAGATTGAGTAGCATGACTCATAGTTATTGCAGTTGGTGCTTGAGCCTTATTTCCCGCCTCATTTCCTGCAGTAGCATGACTCCCATTTCCTGCAGTAGCATGACTTCTAGTTCCTGCAGTAGCATGACTCTCATTTCCAGTTTTTGATTTCTTAGATGTGCCTCCTTTTTTAGTTTTGATTGTACCTTTTGGCCCACCCTACATCCAACATAATTGTAATAAGATATTGAAAATTATATATGAATTTCTAATGTAAATTTTTGTTCAGTTTGAGTTACTAACCCTTTTTTTAGATCCTACAGTAGCCACATTTTGTGTTTGGCTTCCTTGGGTGGGTGCAACATCTCTTGGCAGTTCACCTTCAACAACTACCAATTTTTTGTTTTTCTTACATGTTCTTGCATTGTGTCTATATTCCAAGCAAGTCTTGCACCTATGACTTCTGTTTATCCTTTTCCACCTTGTTTGACTTACCTCATCTGGATCTCTTCTTCTGAGTTTCTTTGGTATAGCTACACCTCTCTTGTAACTTGGTGGTAAGATTTCAGGGTCAGCAGTCCTTGGCTATTTGTTTTGGCCATTAATGGGACTGATAACTTCATTGTAACATGAGACATATGTAGACCTATGGTAACACTTGTGTACATACTTAATGGGATTATCTATCTTCCTATGTATGGCTGCAACAACATGTCTACATGGGATTCCAACCAAGTCCCAAAAGTTACAAGAACAAGTATGTTTTGCCAAGTCTACAACATAACTTTCTGTGAACATTACATGACTTACTTGAAATGTTAATCTACCTCCATATGTGGGCAGCCAATTAACATTTTTTCTATCTTCCTATCTAACCTTCTAAGTAGTTTAGACATGATATCTCCTTTGTAATTTTCAACCTTCTCCCTAAGAGTGGCAAACCTAACCATAAGATAGTTCCTAATCCACTCAAACATGGTAATTATATGTTTATCCCTTTGCATCAAAATAGTAGCATTGAATGATTCACTTAGTTTGTTCATAAGAATATCACACTTAGAGTACAAGGGGAAGGCATGTTTACACAATTTATTCATGGGAATAACATTTAGCCATCCAAAAGTATCTAGACTTACCTCCTTAATTTGATTTATCTTATCCTCGTGAGCTTCAAAATAGGTTACCTTTGCTGCAGCCATTATGAGATCTATATATAGTGTTCCATCCATAAACTTCTTCTTGAAGTTAGCCTATAAATACCTTAAGTAAAAGTTATGCTCAAACTCAGGATATTCTTCCTCAAATACATTCACCAGTCCCTGCATATACATGACCACCACATCAATAAGTAACATTAAACACTAAATGATGAAGTAACATTAAGCATACCTTTTGCTGATCAGACATGAAGCACCACCTATTATCAGAACCAATATCTTTCAGAAGTAACTTAATAAACCAACTCCAAGAGTCCATAGTTTCATTATCCACCGCCCCAAAGGCAAGTGGAAGATACTGGTCATTGGCATCCCTACTGACAACTATCAACAAGATTCCACCATATTTATTTTTTAGGTGACATCCATCTAACCCTATGAATGGCCTGTATCCAACCTTCAATGCTTTCTTTGTACCATCAAAGCACATGTAGCACCTTTCAACCTAGGTGGCAAACCAGAAATGTTCAACTTAAATGTGTTTCCTTTGGATTCCCTCCTCAATTCAGCTTCATATGACCATAGCATGCTGTATTGCTCGGTTGAGTCCCCTTCAACAACCTTTCTAGCTAGCTGCCTTGCTTTGAAAGCCCTACATCCAGTCATTTCTGTAGCAAACCTCAATCTTACATCTGCTAGAACTTCATTCAATTTCATACCTTAAATGTTCTTTAACTTGTCAAAAATCACTCTAGATACCCAATAAGCATTAGCATTCTTGTTGAAGAACTTTCTTCCACATTTTTGCTTCTAAAATAGAGTTTTGATCCTAAATGTTACAGTTCTCAAAACCCTACTGCACAAAATCGTGTAATCACATTGTTGTTTATCCTTACAAACAACCCTACACCTTGTCCCATCATTTTTGGCAAACCTGACCTCCCTACCATTCAACACATTGTGTTCCAATACAGCCTTTTTAAATTGCTTCAGAGAAGAAAATTCCATTCTCACCTTGAATTTAAATTCTTTTCTAAGGTTTTCATGTTCATTAAACCTTATCACTAGAGGCCTAACATTATCACTATCATCATCTGCCCCACTATCAAGTTCATCTGTGATGTAATCATCCTTAACTACATGTTCTCTTTGCATCTCAGATGTAGTCAACCCTTTAGGTATCCCTTGACCATTATCCATTTGACATGTACCATCACCATTACCCACTCCACATGTATCAACATCTTCACCCATGTCTTCATCAAAATCGTGCATCCTCTCTTATTCACTATCTTCAAAGTGTATTCCATTCAAAGAGTCTTCAGATGATTCACTGTCCTCGTCACCTTCATTTTCCTCAACATTAACGTGGCCTTTTTCTTTCTCTTTTAACCTCTCCATATAAGTCTTCTCACCACTAGATAATCTTACCTTTGTATATATCTCAACATCACACTTACTTTCCTCAACACACTTAGCTAACATTGTTGCATCCTCATCATTAACAAGGGATTTTAGATCATTTTCAAGTGAGCCATGTTCAGACTTCCACCATATTTTCACATCTTCAGTTTTAAATGATAAATCCATACCCTTAATTAAGTTGCAGGCTTCAAAGAATGACCATAAATCAGGATCTTACCCACATACAACGTAAACATCACCCCTTTCGTATTTTAATCCTTCATCCTTTACGAATGACCCTTTGGTATAAAAGACAACCTTAAATGACCCCATTGCCTACATATTTCAAGAAAAAAGGAGGGGTAACTCAGACATTACCAATAGATAAATTAAAGATGAAAAACCCTAGAATTTGGGACCACGCCATGGGGCATACAAGTAATGCTCAGAATGAATAAACTATAATAAGTGGGACTTACCTAATCCTTGTTGGGACCGCAGCAACGCAACAATCAGCTGAAATTTCTTCAATGTTTGAGACCACAAGAGGCAGGAATGTCAATGTCTTGTTATGCTGTCGAAGGAGAACTTATATAATAAATATCACTTGGGAGAAGTTATGTAATGAGATATGCCACTAGAAAGAAGTTATATAATGAATTTCACATCGGAAAATAAAATAAATTATTCAATTCACCTGTCTTTTCACATAAAAAACCGTTAGTAAAACTTGACGTTGAGAGATAATAATCTAGACGGAATTTTTTGAAAGAATCAATCTTTAAAAAAAAAATATTTGAAGGACTAAAAACAAAAATTAAATTATTTATAAAAACTAAAAATTTATTTAGGCGAATCTTTTATTAAAAAAAAGGATAGAAGGGTGAACCAAAAAGGCATGTGAAGATCTAAATTTTGAACATTGACTTATCTGCCGGCAAACCATTACTCTATTACGTGTCAAATCAAGATTCGAGCAAAAAGCGTATCTATTCTGACCCTATCTCAAAATAAAAGACAATTCATGACCCACATATACAATATAAATAGAAACATGCTCCAATTTGGAATATAAAACCAGATTATCTCATCTAAATGTTACATAAAATACACTTTAATTTTAAATTTCATTTTGTTTGAATGAAACATAAGCACATATAATTGTATATCCTATTTTTTCAAACTGGTATTCCTGGAGACCAAAACTCCAATAAGTTCATTGAATTTAATTTAAGACATAATATGATATCATATTCGTGTCTCTCTTATTCAAACTACTATCAAATTGATCCTTTATGTAAATTATTGTGCAAGATTAGATTAAGGCAGACAAAAAGGCTACCTGACACTTCAAGTTTGACAATGAATTCCAAAATGTGAGCTATCATTTTCTTGTTAGATTAAGCACCGACAACCTTTTGACTTGGTTCCCTTCCATTCATTCCTAGAAAACACTTATGTTTCTATACTTCTCCACACAAAATCCTCTTTTCTTAATTATATTTTTTAATCCGTTTATGCCACATATAATTACGATTAACTATCAAACTTGAAACCTTGTAATTTCTTTTTAATAAATCCAATATTCCCATCGCACAATTACAATAATTAATCCTTTTAACTCAATACAATTGTAACTAGAAGAGATCTTTACTATCTCATTCAAAACTTTAATTAATATTTTTTATTTTAAAAAATTAATTTTATTAATTCTCCATAAATTCACAATTATCAAATATAATTAATTGGATCTTATCACATGAGTTATAAATATTTTAATTGATGTGACATTCAGTGACAAATAAATCAATAACTACACCTATTTTTTAGTCAAAACAAAATTATAATTTTTTTCAAAATTTAAAATAAATTTTTTTTTTGGTTTTCAATTAATATGTTTTTAATTAAAGAACTATATAAAGGATAATCTCTCAATAATATCTTTGGATAGTTATTCAATCCAAAATCAAGTTGTAACTTTTAAGAGTATTTATGAGGTGGGTTGGGTCTAATTTGATTAAATTTAATATTTGATTTAATAAATAGTCTTTGGTTTGGATTAAGTATTCAATTCGTACTTCTAAGACAACACCCGAACCAAATCTTGTTCATCAATGAATTGAATTGGATTGGATTCATGGGTCATCCATTAAATATAATTTTCAAATTTTAAATAAAATATTAATTTAATTAGCACATTTATCTTACAAAAACATTAAGAAATTATAAAATTTTAGTATCATTGAATAAAATTTATAGTTTAATATCTAAAAACTCTTTTACAATTCAGATCAAGTCATAAAAATATACAAATGATGTAAAATATAATTTAAAAGGTAAGATATATCACTCTTCGAATAAATAAATTTGACCTCTCGAATTTGATTTAGACTTAGATTTACAATTAATAAACACTATAATTATATATATTTTTAAAATATATGCATTGTAAGAATTATGCTAGATAATTTATAAATAAAATAAAATAAAAATAGCGTGACATGTCAATGAGTTGGGTTCGCGGGTTCGTGGGTTTAAAATTTCAAATTTGTTACCCGAGCCAAATGTCAATGGGTTTGAATGTGTTGGGTAAAAATAAGGATTGGGTTGAATTGGGTGAGTGGGTTTGCGGGTTGGCCCGTACCCATGAACACCCCTAGCAATCCTCTTGTATTTTTCTATTAAAAAATTGAGAGCATATTTCAAAAACATAATAGTACAAATAGGGAAAGATAACCTCCCTGAATTTTTTCTCCGTGGTTGGAATTTATTTAGTTCTAGGTTTTTTGACTAAACATTGATTAAAGAGAGGATAAAACTAGACTCCCTCCAGTTAATTTCTCACAGGAAACATCTCCACTCGTACAAATATATGTTCAATAAACCAATCGTTAGTTGGTTTAGTTGTGATTGATGTTGGATTTGGTAGGGAGGACCACAATTTGATCCCCCGCAATTACGACTGAGAGGGGGCTGGAACCATTTGATGTCGGAACTCACCTCCGAACCGGACTATACCAGTGGTGATAAACCAACAAAAAATATATGTTCAATAAGACTTGTAAAACTGATACAAAATGTATGTTGAATTTATGATATCTATTACATGTTCAACATTAGCTCAAATGTTGGACTGAAGTGTCAAATGTTTAAGAAGGGATTGAGGCCATACTGTATGTTTTGAGAAAAACTAGGGCTTGAGAGAGCTTGTAACCTAAGTGATTTTCCTAATATGGCACATTCCCATATAAATTATGAAGAATAACTCCTAGTTGAAGAAGGAGAGAGAGGTCGGGGAGCAGGGAACACCAAACATAGTTGGGCACCAGAGAAAGAGATAACAGTTGTCGTAGAGAAGAATGGGATTGCAGACCCTGATCCAAGTTCAATGCTTACATTCCCCTGAATAATTCAAGGGAGAAAATCTGGAAAAATGTGCAAGCACTGAGTTCAAGAAAACTAGGATCATGAATCCCTACCCGCTCATAGAATCATCCAAGATAGACAAGTCCAAGTATTGTTGATTCTATAAGAGTCACGACAATAACATAAATGATTGTATCCATTAGAAGGATGCAACAAACAAGTTGATTAATAAGGGGTGACTTACTAAGTACACCCGAGATTGTAACCGGAAGGGAGGCCGGGACAATAAGAGAGGGTGTAGGAGCAAATAAGACTCACCAACGAAGAAGTGCTCCCTTCACGGATAAAAATCCTCCAAGAACGTTAGTGAAGTTGTCACTATTTCTAAAAGGGGGAATACAATAGCAATAAAGGAGAGGAAGTACATAAATGGAAACACCAGTACATCACATCCATTACTAGTAATCTTATAAGAGCAAGGGACCCCTCCAAAGGGGTGATGGCGAGAAAAAGTGTTGAGTTTATAGTCGTAAACAAAGAATAGGGGAAACTTCGACTAGGGAACTAGTTGACATATACTCAAATTCTATGATAGTAAAAAGGTATGAGGGATCTTGAATGATATATTTCTTTTGATGACAACAACTACCATCACCGATTTTAATCTCTCCAGAGTCCCCGTTGATGGTGAAATCTCTTGTGATATCATATAATTAAATCTCTTTGAAAAGTTAGGGTCAGAGAAGGAAAATTTACGGACCTATGAAGGATATGATCTGCAATATTTCAATGGCATAATAACTCACTCATAGGGGTATATCAATTTGATGATCACCCTAGGAGAAGAAATGGACACTAAGTAAGTTGACTTGCAATTTTGGTTGTTTCCTACAAAAACATCTATGATTGTATTATAGGTATACCTTTCACATGAACCTTAGACGCAATGATTTCCCTTGTCCATCTCAGAAATACCATAATATACACAACGAGCTAGTGGACATACATGCAAAATTATTTGGAGTAAAAAGTTAATACAAGTCTCCACATCAAAATGAGCTGATGGAAATACCACAATATCCATAACGAGCTGGCAGATAATTTCGATGTATACTTCTTATCAACTCATGATAATTGTTATTGTCACTATTAGTAGCTAAGTTAGTCTATATTAGATCTTTTAATATGAACCAAATTGTACTATGTTAGATCATATGATTGTTTGATATTGTTTGAATTCCTTTATGTTATAATCATTATTTAATTGTTCTAGTGCTTAATGTTGTTTGAGTGTTTACGAGTACGCATGACTATTTGTGAAAATCTCAGATACTTTTTTACCATGGATTCTGGAAAAAGAAAGACCTAAAAATACAGTTTCAAATATCCCAAGATAGATGAGCTGATGAGTCTGATTCCCGAGATTGAGTGTTCTGCAGGTTTTCGAAAGAAGTATGGGTCGATCATTTCTCTCATGAAGCTTAGGATGAAGGAGGGTATTCTCTCGACCTTGGTCCAGTTCTATGATCCGATGTATCAATGCTTTACTTTCCCTGACTATCAGTTGATGCCTACACTAGAGGAGTATTCTTATCTGCTGGGTTTGCCTATTATCAATCGTATTCCTTTTACTGGTTTGGACGATGAGCCAAAACCACATGAGATTGCTGCTTTGGTCCATTTGGGGAAGTCTGATGTTGAAGCCCACATGACTACTAAAGGACGGATTAAAGGATTACCAGCTCAGTTCTTATTGGAGAAAGCTCGTTACTTTGCCAGGATGAAGAGTACAGTCGTTTTTGAGGCCATTTTTGCTCTACTTGCTTACGGGTTATTCTTATTTCCTAATGTGGACAAATTTGTTGGCATTAATGCCATCAGGATCTTCATGATTGGAAACCTAGTTCCTACATTGTTGGGTGATACTTATTACTCTATTCATCTTCATGATTCTTATCATGGGGGAT